TATATATATATATATATGTATATATATATATATGTATATATATATATATATATATATATATATATATATATGTATATATGTGTATATCTAACCCTAACCCTAACTCTCGCATTGGAGGACGACTGCTCTAACCACTCAGCCACAGCTGCCCCGCACAATGCTCCAGCGATGTCACACTGGACTGCAGCCTTAAGTAGTGTTGCTCCTCATCAGATGGATGGGCGTCAGCTGGTGTTAATTGGCAGCCATCTTGGAGAAGGGCTGCAGACAGTGAGACTCCTACAAACAAACACTAAAATTCAAAGCACCTATCTTCTTAATGAGCTAAATATTTTTGATATCTGAAGTAAGAAGTCGTTAGATACAGAAAAAATTATAAATAGGGAAATAATAGTGTGGATGTGACTCATCAGTCTTAAAGCTGGTCATAGCTAATCAACATTATCCAACACAAAAATGTTTTTGATTCAATTAGTTTTATAGCTTTTGATCTAAATTTGCTGTAATAGTAGCTGAAAATAACTCAAACTCTTTGCACTAACAGATCCTGTATAATGTCACAACATTGCATTATGTATAGCAAGAATTTTACGAGGTTCAACCAAAATGAACACTTTTTTTTATATAGATGAACACTGAAAACGAACACTCTGACATATCTCACAGTAAGAAAAATTTAGTTTAAAACTCATTCAAAAATCAAAAAATCTAAACAAAATAAAATAAAAATAAAATAAAATAAAATAAAAAAAATAAAATCTCTCAAAGGCAGTGTTCAATATTTATTTCTTCAAGGAATTTAATGCCTTTCAACTGTCTTTTTGTAGATGGCGCAAAGCAGTGAGAGGCTCCTCTTGTTTTCTGTCACTGTGGTTTTATCACTCATTCTGACGTCAGCTGTGAAAACTCTGAACTCGCAAGCGGAGCTGCAGAACAGTGGTTTTGGTCAACCCCCACCTCGCCACGGCCTCAAGATTCTGGTGTGGTATGTTCAGAACTGCTTGGACAACAACATGAGGGCTCTGTGTGATCCTACCCAAGGAGAATATGGATTCCACTGGTTTCAGAACCGAGGGCCCGATCATCTGCTCCCTGTGATTGAGGATAAAAAGCAGTATGAATACTTTACCATTGGGAACCTCAACTCACCTCATGCCAAAGACCTGCCTTTCGAAGTCAGGAGGGACTACAATCCCCACGATCCTAAAAGTAACATGGACAGAATTTTAGTGAGATACAATAACAACAATAAGCTCATTGATGAGATTTATGCATCTGCACATTATAAAGCAACAGAGACGTACAAGATAGGCCCAGATCTTCTGTCTGCTCTAAGACGAAAATCAAATTATATCTGCATGGAAATTGGGTGTACTGTGTGACAATCTTAAACAACTGTCATGCCAAAAACAAATTGCTTTTCTAAAATGTTCTTGATGAATAATGTTGGCTAACTGTTTCTTCCTGCTTGTACTACATATAAAATGACTCATAGCCAATCAAAATCATTAAAATACTATTCCATTAAATATTTACGAGTGTGTGTGACTAATTCTTTTTTAGCACTTTTTTAGGAACTTTTTTGTTATACACCTTCCTTCCTTATCAGAACCAGTCATTTTTAAGTAGACCAAAGCCTGGTCACAATATGATAAAACATTTTTAAAAGACCTTTATGGACAAAATAAAACAAGGAACTCAGTATCCCTTGCCCAGATGTGGGTTACCGGGGCCCCACCCTGGAGCCAGGCCTGGGGGAGGGGCTTGTCAGTGAGCGCCTGGTGACCGGGTTTCTACCCATGGGGCCCGGTCGGGCTCAGCCCAAAGGAGCAGCATGACTTTGCCTTCCAGTAGACCCATCACCTGCAGGAAGGGCCATAAAAGTCAGGTGCATGATGCTATGGGCAGTGGCCGAAGGCGGGACCTTGGCGCTCTGACCCTGGCTTACCATAGCTGGCTCTTGGGACATGGAATGTAACCTCTCTGGCAGGGAAGGAGCCTGAGCTTGTGCGCAAGGTTTAGAAGTACCGAGTAGATATAGTTGGGCTCACCTCTACGCACAGCATGGGCTCTGGAACCGATCTCCTTGAGAGGGGCTGGACCTTATTCCACTCTGGAGTTGCCCATGGTGAGAGGCGTCGAGCTGGTGTGGGTCTACTTGTAGACCCCTGACTTGGTGTCTGTGTGCTAGAGTTTTCCCTGGTAGATGAGAGGGTGGCTTCCCTTCGCCTTCAGGTGGGGGGATGGGCTCTGACTGTTGTTGTGCCTATGCATCAAAATGCAGTTCAGAGTATCCTGCCTTCTTGGAGTCCTTGGCAGGGTTGCTGCAAAGTGTGCCAGCTAGGGACTCCTTTATTCTGCTGAAGGACTTCAATACCCACGTGGGTAATGACAGTGAGGGGCGTGATTGGGAGGAACGGCCTCTCTGATCTGAACCCGAGCGGTGTTCTGTTGTTGGACTTCTGTGCTAGTCATAGTTTGTTCATCACAAACACCATGTTTGAACATAAGGGTGTCCATAAGTGCACTTGGCACTAGGACGCCATTGGTTGTAGATCGATTATTGACTTCATAGTCGTGTCATCTGATTTGCGGCCGTTTGTTTTGGACACTCGGGTGAAGAGAGGAACTGAGCTGTCAAATGATCACTACCTGGTAGTGAGTTGGATTATATGGCGAGGGAAGATGCCAGACAGACCCGGTAGACCCAAACGTGTAGTAAGGGTTTTGTGGGAACGTCTGACAGAAGAACCCATCAGAGAGATCTTCAACTCACAACTCCGGGAGAGCTTTAACTGCATCCCAGCTGAGGTGGGGGACATTAAGACCGAGTGGGCCATGTTCCACGCCTTGCTTGTTGAGGTAGTAGCCTTGAGGTGTGGCCACAAGGTTGTCGGTGCTTCTCGCGGTGGCCATCCATGAACTCGGTGGTGGACACCCTGGGTTAGGGATGCTGTCAAATTGAAGAAGGAGTCCTATTGGGCCTTGTTGGCCAGTGGGACTCTGGAGGCAGCTGAGGAGTACCAGAGGGCCAAGCGGTGTGCAGCCTTGGCTGTTGCTGAGGCAAAAGCTTGGATGTGGGAGGAGTTCTGTGAGACCTTTAATAGAGACTCTCGGTCAGCTCCCAGGAGATTCTGGCAAACTATCAGGTGGCTGAGGAGGGGAAAGCAGCACTTTAGTAACACTGTGTTCAGTGAAGGTGGGGTGCTGTTGACCTCAACCAGTGATGTCGTCGGGAGGTGGAGGGAATACTTCTCGAACCTTCTCATTCCCACTAGGATGTCTTCTATGGCGGAAGCTGAGTCAGGGGACTTTGGGGTTGATCCGTCCATAACCGTGACTAAGGTCGCCGAGGTAGTTAAAAAGCTCCAAGACGGCAGGGCTCCGGGAGTGGATGAGATTCACCCTGATTTTCTTAAGGCTCTGGATGTTGTGGGGCTGTCTTGGCTGACACGCCTTTGCAACGTCGCATGGACATTGGGGCATTGCCACTGGATTGGCAGACTGGGGTGGTGGTTCCCCTCTTCAAAAAGGGGGGCCGGAGGGTGTGCTCCAATTATAGAGGCATCACTCTCCTTAGCCTCCCTGATAAGATCTATTCAGGGGTACTGGAGAAGCGAGTCAGATCGTTGGTCAAACCTCAGATCCAGGAGGAACAATGTGGGTTCCGTCCTGGCCGTGGAACACTGGATCAGTTCTTTACCCTCACTAGGGTCCTTGAGGGGTCATGGGAGTTTGCCCATCCAGTCTACATGTATTTTGTGGACTTGGAGAAGGCATTCGACCATGTTCCTTGGGGTACACTGTGGGGCGTGCTCCGTGAGTATGGGACTGGAGACCCGTTATTATGGGCTGTTCAGTCCCTATACAAGCATTGTGAAAGTTTGGTTCGCATTGCCGGCAGTAAGTCGGACCCCTTCAGGGTGGGAGATGGACTTCGCAAGGGCTGCCCATTGTCACAGACTATGTTCATAACATTTATGGACAGAATTTCTCAGTGAAGCCAGCTGGTAGAGGGTTTCTGGTTTGGTAGCCTCAAGATTCCATCTCTGCTCTTTGCAGATGATGTGGTCCTGTTGGTGTCATCTTGCCGTGATCTTCAGCTCTCACTGGAACGGTTCGCAGCTGAGTGTGAAGCAGCTGGGATGAGAATCAGCACCTCCAAATCTAAGGCCATGGTCCTCAACCGGAAAAGGATGGACTGCTCTCTTCAGGTCGAGGGTGAGGTTCTGCTTCAAGTGTAGGAGTTCAAGTATCTTGGGATTTTGTTCACGAGTGTGGGAAGAATGGAGCGTGAGATTGACAGACAGATTGGTGAAGCATCTGCAGTATTGCAGACTCTGTACCGGTCCGTTGTAGTGAAGAGAGAGCTGAGCTGTAAGACAAAGCTCTCTGTTAACCGGTCGGTCTACATTCCTAACCTCACCTATGGTCATGAGCTCTGGTTAGTGACTGAAAGAATGAGATCACAGATACAGGCAGTTAAAATGAGTTTTCTCTGCAGGGTAGCTGGACTCTCCTTTAGAGATAGGGTGAGAAGTTCAGTTATCAGGGAGAGGCACGGAGTAGAACCACTACTCCTTCATGTCAAGAGGAGCCAGTTTAGGTGGTTCGAACATCTGGTAAGGATGCCCCCTAGGCGCCTCCCTAGGGAGGTGTTTCGGGCATGTCCAATTGGGAGGAGACCCCAGGGAAGACCCAGGACACGCTGGAGAGACTATGTCTCTCGGTTGGCCTGGGAACGCCTTGGAATCCTCCCAGAAGAGCTTGAAGAGGTAACTGTAGACAGAGATGTCTGGGCCTCCCTGCTCAAGCTGCTGTCCTTGCGACCTGACTTCGGAATATGTGGAAGATAATGGATAGATGGATGGATGGAATTTTGTTAGGAATAGTGTGTGAATTGAGTTTAGGAAAAAATAAATGCTGTCCCCGATATTTTTTTTGAGAATTACTCTTTTGATTAATCCTTATTGCTTATTCAAGTCTAGGTAATCATTCAAAAACTTCTTCTACAAACTAGTTATATACACATCCTTAGTCTGTGTCATTATTATTATTGTGGTTATTGGGGTTTATTTCACTCTCAGACTGCAGGTGTACTTGTGGTTCCTAGAGTTTCCAAAAGCAGAATGGGAGGCAGAACTTTCAGTTATCAGGCTTTTCTCTCGTGGAACGAACTTCCAGTTTCTGTCCTTGAGGCTGACACATAGTCTACTTTTAAGATTAATTCCATTCAATTCAGTTTATTTATATAGTGCCAAATCACAACAGAAGTCATCTCAGGGCACTGAACAGAAATATTCATATATAAAATGTTACGGGGGAAAATCTCTGTGTCTGGCAATTTGAATAATTTTTGATTTTTGTTGTCACAGTTTGATTAAAAACCGATTTTTGATTCAGAAACAATTTTTCTATTGAAATGGTTATAAATTTTGTTAAAGTATGAAATTGAATAGATGAAAAGATTAAACAACAATGTAAGAAAATAGAAAATTTATTTAAAACAATAATTTTAGGTTCTTTACTGTATCAAATCTTTTTGCATCCTTTTATATTTATACCAACAATAGGAACAAATATAGGAGTGCATAAAATCCTGTAACTTAAATTACCCATATTAGGTTAGCTTAGCTGCCTGATTTTTCTAAAATAAATAAAAATCTAGTAACAAATAATCCATCCATCCATCATCTTTACCCACTTATTCCTTTTTGGGTCGCTGGTGTCACTGGTGCCCATATCAGCCATCACTGTGCAAGAGGCTGAGGACACACTGGACAGGTCTCAAGTCCATCACAGACAAATAATACAAAATATATAAACACAAAAGCAAACAAAGACTTTAGCCTGCCAAAGTACATTAAAACTTGAACTCAAAGTAAAATACAGACTTCAGGTTGTTGTTGTTTTTTTTTGCCATATTGCTCTAACATTTGC